TTGGATCCATCATCCATGTAACAGCCCTTTAATATAACAAGGGCGCTGTACTAGATAACCCTTGGGTCTCATCCAACTCTACAGTTCTATGATTCTGTTCTCCTCTCTCTCTTCTCTCAGTCTCCTCTGCCCCTGGCTAAACATGCCCAACTCCCTCACCTGTTCCACATAAGGCTTGGTTTCCAGACCCCTGATTATCTTGCGCTCTCTCTCTCTCTCTCTCTCTCTCACACACACACACACACCCTGCACATATTCCAGCTTTTCAACATAATTCTTAAATTGTGGCACCCAGAACTGGACACAGTATTCCAGGTGTGGTTTGACCAAGGCAGAATAGAATGGAATTATTACTTCCCTTGATTAGGAACTATACAGTATATCTGTTGATGCAGCCTAGAAAGCAGTTGCTTTTTCCTGCTACACCACATGGCTGACGTGTGAAACTTTTGGTCTACTAAGACCCCTAGATCCTTTTCAAATGTACTAGTGGAAAGACAGGTTTCCCTTATCTTATATATGTGCAACTGGTTTCTCCTACCTAAGTGTAGAACCTGAAACTGGTCCGTATTGAAATTCATTTTGTTTGGGTCCAGTTCTACAATCTGTTAAGGTCATATTGAATGCACCATAAGAGTATCTCATGCACTGTGCTATTATATAATGTTCACCAATGTTACCTCCTTTGATTCAATACGTATATTTGGTTTGTGAAATTGCAACACATTTTATTAAAATTAAACTACCTTATATTTGCATTCTTTCTTTTCCTTGACCTCTTTGCTCAGTTGCTATAAACAATTAATCTGTTAAACCAAAAGTAGCCTCTGTAACTGGATTCTAATTGTAATTTTCTTTTCTCTTACATAAATCCTCTTTTTCAAAAAAAGGAGAAGAATATATCTAGACGACTGTGGTAAGTGCACATAAAAAAGTAATATCATGTTCAGTATTAGCACTGTATACATTAACTTCAACACACCTAAGAATGAAGATGTGGTACAGCATATGTGATTAATGTAGGACCATAACTTCATCTTATAGTCTGCATAAGGGATAGGTGGAGATTTCCATTTTGGGTTCTCTCAGTTTCTCACATTTTGAATTCTCTACATTTCTGCAACAATTTGGATTAAAAAGAAATAACTTCATGTAATATTGAAAAATATGTTAGTGTGACTTTCTTTTTTAAAAAATGTAATGTTTGTGCTGTCTTGAAGAATGAACACACTTTAACAAGCATATTGCCATAATACATGAATTTTTTGTAAACACTTTGGTTGGAGAACTGCATCCAAAAATGTGGGTAAATTTGAATTTCAAAGAAAATGTTGTTTTGCATATTGGGTCAGGAAGTTTAAATTAGATAATGTCTAAGTAAAATGCAAGGAGATTCAAATCCCCTTCCCAATGACTAGTTCTGCAATTATGAAAAGCATCATTGCAACATTAAATCAGATTAACTTGATCATTCAGTTGGATTAACATAATCCAACAATTTTGGTTTGAAGAAAAAATGGTGCTTTCTCTTTATTTGGAAATGTCTTTGAATTTGTAGTTTTCCAGGAAAACCTCTAGGAAAAATATGTTCCGTGTTATGAGAATCATTTCTTAACTGATAATGTTTGGGTATGATATTGCCATGCTTTGAAACTCAAAGTTCCCTTATTCTGTGATAAAATATCAACTTATTTGTTTCAAAAATTGAAAAGCTAGTGGCAGGATTTAAATAAACAATTGAAACTTTATTTACAGAGAACAAGAAATACAATTAGTGATAAGAGAACATTAGGTATAAAAAGCAGAATGTAACATTTGGTGTAATAAACCAGAAGTGGAAGTTGGGGGAAGTCAACAGGGAGGGGGAAACTAGAAAATGGATGTTAAATGATGACATTAAATATGTCTTACGAGAAAAGAAAACCAATTAAAAATGTTTTTTTAAAAAATTGAAAAGCTACCAACCAGCTTATTTTGAAGACTCACAAAAACTGTGTAGTGCCTTAGCTACACAGGTGTTGAACTAGACAAGAAGAAAATCAAATTATCTCTTTGCAATTGGATAATCCTAACTTTTGATGATAGTTAATGCTATAGTTAGTGTTTATCCAAAAAAGATTTCCTGTTATCTCTTCCAGGATAGAGAATGAAGAGCCAAATCACTTTTCTGGAGATTCAGATAATGGCTCAACTGTTTCACTGAAGTTAACCCAAAGCATTGCCAACAGTGTCTTTATCATCATCTGCATCTTTGGCTTCCTGGGGAATGGAATGGTCATCCGGCTTCTGGGCTTCCACATTAAGAGGAATCCTTTCACCACCTACATCCTGAACCTCTCCATCGCTGACTTTGGTGTCCTTGCAGCTCTCCTGACTATTATTTTGCCTGTTGTAACTTTCTATGAGAAATCCCATGTTGCTGTTTTGATTAGAAAAGTATTATATGAACTATTTTTCTTCACGTATTCTGCAGGCCAGTTTCTACTGACCGCCATCAGCATCGACAGGTCTGTGGCTGTCCTCTTCCCACTTTGGCATCGATGCCACCGACCGGCACGTTTATCCACCATTATCTGTGCCCTGATATGGACCCTCTCTTTCCTGCTCTCAGGCATTCACTTTACTCTCCTACTGACTCAGAGCTTTCCAGACTCTAACTTAGTGTACCAGCTTATTGTAAATGCCCTCATTTGCACTCCTCTGATGGTCACCTCCACTCTGATACTGGCCCTCAAAGTCTGTTGCAAATCAGAGCAGAATCAACGCGGGAAGCTGCTCACCACCATTTTGCTTGCACTACTTTTCTTCCTCATCTTTGCTTTCCCACTAAATGCCATTTACACTGCCATCTATTTTAATGAGAACAATGTGATTCTAATGGAAGTTGGTTTTGTGTGTGCCTCTCTGAATAGTAGTGTCAACCCACTGATCTATTTCCTAGTTGGGAGGAGACAGAAAAAGGGCCAGTCCAGGGTCTCCATGAAAGTTGCACTCCAGAGGATTTTCAAGGATGAGGAGGACTGTGTGGAACAGTCAGAGTCCAGAACTGAAAACTCAGTTTTGGAAGAGTCGAAGTCTGGAACAGAAAACTCAGTTACGATGGCTCCCTTGAAGGCTTAAGACAAGAAATGTCAACTTCTGTATTACAGTGGTACCTCTGGTTACGAACTTAATTTGATCTGGAGGTCCATTCTTACGCTGAAACTATTCTTATCCTGAGGCGCTCTTTCGCTAATGGGGCCTCCCGCTGCATGCACGCCTCCAGCGAGCGCTTTCCGTTCGCATCCTGGGGCAAAGTTCACAACCAGGAGCAGCTACTTCTGGGTTTGCAGAGTTCGTAACCTGAAGCGTTCGTAACCAGAAGCGTTCGTAGCCAGAGGTACCACTGTATCATGATCAACATGATGTCTAGACAATAATCTGTTGTCTGAATGTCTTCTTGTAATGTCTTTCTTTCTATTGTCAAAAGCAGGAGTTTCACTTTAGGAGTTCTGCGTTTTAATGTTTGCTTTGGAAAGAGCACTATTGTGAAGATGGAGCTTGGATGGAAAATATGTGTGAGCATCGATTTCTTCAACCCTATATTGTCCAATGGGTTGGGCTTCTCTCTCTATGAACAACTGTCATAATGTTTTTTGGAGTTACAGCCAACCCAGAAGCAACTTTAGTCCACATTGCTTAAAACTGTGGATCTAGTAGACTCATTTTGAGTGGTATGATTCAAATTGATTAATTTTTTGTTGTATCTATTTCAACAACCCCAAAGTTTGAGAGTCTGTAGCACGAATGTTATAAAGATATGCTGATCTGTTGTGGAACAACCCCATTGAAGAAGATAACAATAGTTACTCAGACCTTATTGCTAGTTGCAAAGAGGGCCCCATAGCAATTCGGGCTTCAGGGCCCCCAAAATGTAGATCTACCACTGATAGCCACCACCATAACTACAGCCCCTTGCTCATGCTGACTGTGGTGGCAGCCACGGGGCACATCAGGAACTTATTTCTTCTGGTCTCTTCCAGGAAAGAGTTTTTTTATATGGACATTGAGTTGCCGGCTTCCTTGAAATTAACCCTAAGCATTGTCAACAGCATCCCTATCATTATCAGCATGTTTGGCTTCCTGGGGAATGGAAAAGTCATCCACCTTCTTGGCTTCCACATTGAGAAGAATCCTTTCACCACCTGCACCCTAAACCTCTCCATAGCTGACTTTGGTGTCTTTACTGCTCTCCTCAGTATTATTTTGCCTGTTGTAACTCTCTATGGGGAATTCTATTCTGCTTATGTGATTAAAATATTATTATTTGAACTATTTTTCTTCACATATTCTGTTGGCCAGCTTCTACTGACAGCCATCAGCATTGACACGTCTGTGGCTGTTCTCTTCCCACAAGCTGTTTACAAGCTGAAGAAACAACAAAATTGACAGCAAATCTATCACACACCTAATAATAATCTGATCCAATATAGAGAGTCATAATAAAAACATAACTTTAAAATAGACAACCTACACCAAATATAGCAATATTCAATAATCCATTTGAATATAATAGTAAACTTCAAAATTAAATATCAGCAAATAATAATTAAACAGTTTACACTACTACCAAGAAGGCCCTCTGCCTAGTTCCCTGTAGCTTCACTTCTTGCAGTGAGGGAACAGCCTGGAATTGTTGTCATTTATTAATTTATATGCCACCCAATGCCCAGATTAGTTTTGCATTGAAAAAGCAAAATAAGAATCCCATAGAACGCATTATCCAACTAAATGGAATAAAGTAAAAATAGATGTATATGCCCCTTAATTCCCGTATTAGCTTCTAAGCAAATTGTAAGTGTAAAATCCAATGATGCAAACATTTTTGAAAATCAACATCCGTAATTAAAATATGCATTGAGTTCTGCAGAAAAACCTGATCTGTGGAAGCTTTTCCACAAGCGAATATTGCATTTGGTTATCTCTTATGAAATCCCCACAGCATAGCTTATCGGGGGGATTTAAGAAGTCATCATCATTGAATCTGTCATGGCTGGAGGATTCTGATCCTCTGTGCAATCAGCTTTGTCACTAAATACTCTTTCCAGCACTACCTTCAAGGGTTCTCTGGGTCGATGTTTCTTTCCCCTTCCAATTAGGAAGTAAAGGAATGGATTAACACTGCTGTTGATAATAGCACATGTCATACATATTAGTGGTTCCCATAACATGCTTTGAATGTCAATCAGTTGAAAAGCTAGAAGGGTCATCAGCGCACTGAATGGTACACCGAAAATAAAGAAGAAAAGAAGAGCAAGGAAGAGGGCTGTGTAGAACTTTCCTCGTGGGCGTCGATGTAAACTGGAGCAGACCTTGGTGAAAAGGACCACAGTACAGATGACTACAACAATTGGGCAAAATACAGAGTTGATCGTGGAAATGACTTGAAAAGTTATGGTAGATTGTATTTCAAAGAAATCCGTTCCAAAGAATAGGCTGGACATTGCCCATATTAATGCACAAACAATTGCAGACAGGTGTTTTGGACGGTGGCATCTGTACCAGATTGGAAAGACAACCAAGAGACACTTCTCAACACTGATGGCTGTCAGGAGATATCCGCTCGTGGTATATGTGTAAAAAAGCAGCTCTTGTGATATGGAGTCTAGGGAATTAGGATCACTTTTAGTCAAAGAGAAAGAGAAAACTACCGCAGAAACAAGGACACAAGCATCAGCAACAGCCAAGTTCAAGATGTAGGTGGTGATGGGGTTCTTCTTAAGAATAAAGCAGAGATAATAGATGACGATTGCATTCCCCACCAGACCACATATAAATATTATAAGGATGATGAGAATACCAAAGAGCAGTAGGCAGTCTATGAAGGAAGAAAGCTCAGATTCAAAATCATCTGGGAATGTTGAAGGGCTGAATTTTCCAGAGATCCCATCAGTGGTGTGTGTTAAAATAAGTGATACTGCTGTGCTCAGCTCTGTCATGATGAAATCTCTTCCTTTGGATTCTACCTGATTTTTCCTTTACCTACACAACTGCTGCAAGCAGAAAGGATGAAGATCATAAGAAATCATCACTAAAGACCAGTTAAAACACATACCTAATGCATAGCAATATATCTTTTTCCTTAACTGAAGTTTCTCCACGCATACTCTCCAGGGCTTATCCCAAGGCAGTCACTCATAACGCCATTTATGTCTGCTGACTCAAACCATAATTAAGAACTATTTGGGAGGAATAACAAAATAACATTACACATGAACATAACATATTTAGAACAAAATATATTCAAAGCCCTGAATTGTGGCTTATGAATCTGAGGAAAATAAAAAGTTCAAATTCTTGTAAAAATGAAAATCACATTTGGGTGATTTTCCATGATGTTTTTAACATTTTGAACTGTTTCAAGTTCATTGCATACACTGTCTTGAGCAGTCACATAAAAAGTTAAACATTTGTTTTTTAAAATATTAAAAATAACACTCCCAAATGCCTTATGAATAATATCTATAGATGTCTTCCTAAGCACGTCTACTCAGAAGTAAGTTTCAATTAACAAGTTCTACTTAACTTGATGGGAACTTACTATGCATAGTAAGTGCACTTAGGACACTAAACCATAATATCCCAGCCTACTCATGGAAGTCTCATTGAACTAAATAGGACTTAATTTGCAAGTAAGTGGCAATTTGCAAAGCTTATAACTTTTTTTTAAAAAAGTAACACTTGAAAGAGATTAAGTTTTTGGCAATACTCACCCGCTGCAGCTTCAAGAAGAATTAAAAGGGTTTTGGTGAAGCAAAGAAGAGGCACAACTTTCCAAATGCATATGAATTTGACTTCTGGTTACACAATCTTTGCTTACCCCTCCTCAAAGATGCTATCTAGGCCAACTGTTGAGACTGTTTATCAGACTGCAACCCAAGGGAAGCATGTAGGACAGAAGAGAACTTGTGGACACGTTTTGAGATAGTACGATTTGAAGCAAGCCTTCCCCAATCTAGTGCCCTCCAGATGTTTTGGACTACAACTCCCATCTGGCTGTGCTGGATGGGACTGTTGGGAGTTGTAGTACAAAGCATGGTGGTCACCAAGTTGGAAAAACAAAGTAATAGAAAAGATTATAAAGTAAGGATCTTAATTATGGGTTGGGGGGTTGTTCTTTTAATGGAAATTATCTAACTTCATCTGCCATTATATTTGATTTGATGGTCAAACTACTCAGGAAACAATGCCTTTGGAGACCTGGAAACTACAACTAATCCAGAATGTGGCAGAATGGGGACCTGATGATATACGAAGCATGCTATGGATTGGGACTCTGTGGCAGCTTTTTCTTCAAAAGAAAAGTATTATCAAAAACTAAATGATACAATAATTTGTATCTGTGCATACTAAAAGTATCTATGTCAAAAAACAGTATTCAATATATATAGCACCTTTTAAATTAATCCATAAAGCTGGATTGATTAAGCCAAGCCAATACAATGTTTTCTTTACATAAGCATTGTGTTTCAAGATTGTGAATGGGGAGTAGTGATGTACAAGTCTGGTATGCAGGCCTGGCCTGTCTCCAAAGGATGTTACCAAAATACCTTTTATTCCCATTTCAACAAGTTCAATTGGAGTAGGGAAAATCAGGTATACTGCAGGGCCTGTTCTAATGTCACTGGAACCAGCAGAAGTAGGGATATTTGTCACAGTTCTCTCATGCAATGCAATCCTAGTCACATTTCATGGGGAGACTCCTTTACGAGTGTGCTTAGAATTGCAGGTTATACTTCACTCCAGTGGAGAGTTTTGTTCTCTAACCTGGAGAGTCTGTTCATGTGAGAAATTGCTGTGTTCACCTTTTTATTGGGAAAAGACACACACTGAAGTTCAAATCACAGTAATGTCCCAGAATATGCCAACTTCTTCTCATTTCTGGCAAGGACCTCATAATTGTCTCTGGCCAGGCATATAGTTTACATATGCAAAATGACTTCACATTAGCTTAATAGGCATTAGTTGGAAGAGAGGAGGCACTGTACAAGCTATCAGCTCCCTAAACATTCATCTGTTGGCTTTTTTTTGCCAAACATGTGCAGCTCCCCAAGCATGTAGGTTTGTAGCAGTGCAGTTTTGTGCTGGCAGACATTCAGTCAGACCCCAACTCTTCAGTCAGTTCAGTCCTTTACTGACAGCTCCAAAACATTAAGGCAATTTCACTATATATAGACTTCCCCTGGATCCCTAGTAGAAGGTACAGGCTTCAAATGCAAAGCAAGTACAACTCACAGCATACATACAGCACAGAATTCAGTATTAATTTGCGAAGCAAGCAGGCAACGTACAAACCCCTCTTAACAGACCTAAGAATGACCACATCCTTGGTCAGTTACCTGGTCACAGTGACCTACTTGGCTGGTTGCCAGGTCAGCGTTCTTCAGACACTAATCACAAGTCCTGCAGGTGAAAGATAAGGGAAGCATGTGCACCAGATGGGCAGGGTATAAATAAATTATTATTATTAATTATTATTATTATTGCAATTAAAGGAACCTCAACACCATCCTCTGATCAGCTTTCTGACCATAAGGCATGCTCACTGAAACAAAACACAAAAAGACCATATCAAATACTTGCCATCAACTGTTATAGTATTATCTTGAATAGAGTAGCTCCACATGTGTTCACTGATTAGCTTATCACATGCCTACCACAAACGGACAGAGCCATCAGATGTCATTGTCTAATCATTGCCTCTCCCTTAGTCAGTTCATTAGGTAGAATTTGTGACTGTATTTGCCTGGGCTTCACCACCATTTCTGCAACATCCAGCTGGTTCCCTTCAATAGCACCTGCTTCATCCTTCCAAGCACATCCTTCAAGAGCTCCCTGGATTGTCTCTCCCAACCAAGTAATATATTCTTGGGTCAATGATGCTGTTGAATGGCAAATATAATGAAGAAGAGGAGAGCGGTCAAGAAATCTGTGTGCACCTTTGGTGGCTGACATCTGTGTGAGCTACAGCAGATCTTGATGAAGGGGGTCAGCATGGAGCCAAACATAAAGGGAGGGGGGACCCAGAAAGTTCACAATGCTAATGATCATTGGACCCTGATGAAGTAGAAGCATCATTCCAGAAAGTAGGTCAGACAAAACCCAGAACAAGGATGATACAACAGCAGAAGAATATGCTGGTAGATGCATGAGTAACAGATGAAAGGTACGCCCACAGCCAATCATGAAACACTAAAAGTATTCCTATTCACGTTCCCAATGGGCAACCAGCTAATCCAATACTACCATATGAGGAGGGTGGGCAGGCTGCTGCATTTAATTGATGAAGCCATTAGCCTAAATAGGGCTATGCCTGCCCTACTCCCATTGGTCCACATGAGACTCACACACACACACACACACACACACACACACACACACAATATCATAGATGCCAGGTAGCACCATGCTTTTCACCTTTGCAAGGGGTGCCCCTAGCAAGGGGGGAAACACTCCCATCAAAGCAACAGAGGAGAAAAATCATGCACTTCTCTGAATTTTGCAGTGCAGGTATAGTTCAAAACACATTACATAATGTACACAAAAATATATTCTATGAGAAAGCATGCATTTATAAGCATTTTTAGTTGAAATGAATAGGAAAACATAAGGCAATGCTTATTTTAGGCAGGAAATCTGTACACAACGTGTATTTTAGGGAAACTGAGTACAAAAGTGCAGACAATTTAAATGTGAAATGTTTGTTTCTCTTGTTTTTAAGGGGACAGAAACAGAGTCAGGACTGAGCTATCTTATGAAACTGACACAGAACAGAAACAGGCTGACGTTGTTCATCCTTATTTGGAAATCATTGCTCTCCAGAAGCTTCTTAGTGCTTTATTATGTGCCAGGAACACATATCTCAAATTCTTTCAATTCCACGTTTCCCGTTTCCCTCAATGACAAAGCAAAGCAAAGGATGAATGGTGTTTCTGAAAGCAGTAAGGAGAAATCAAAGCAACATAAGAAGAATAATGGATGTATAACCTAAACAGTCTATGAAGTACAATATTCTAAATGGAATAGCAAAGGAAATGAAGGAAGTGAGAGTGAGCAGAAACGGTCACATAAAACATTATTGGCTGATCTTGTGAGCTGCAGCACATCTTGGTGAACCTAATCAATGTAGAGACAAGAAGAGCGATGATAAGGGCATTCTTGGTACAGATTATCCTGATAATTGTGGAGAAAACATTCATATGACAAAAGATGGCAAAATAGCTTTGCTCTTCCAGGCAACAAGCCAGAAGTGGGCCAGAGCAGCCATGAAGGCAAAGCAGAAATGTATTCTGACTGGGCAAAACAATCCTAGATTGGAAAGCAAGCCACACTGGGCTGTCCAGTATAAGCAAACCAAAGGAGGTAAATTACTGGCCTCTTTAGTGACAATGATCTTGTTGGTCATTTTTGAGAGTGCTTGGTGCCAAAAAAGGGAGTGACAGAAGCACAAAAGGGAAGAAGTTGAAGTCAACTACAGGCAAGTTCAGCAAGTTAGGCGATCAAGGGAGTACTTTTCTTGGTGCAGATGCACAAAGCATATGTTCAGAAACCAGATGGCAATTCCAGTCTTCACCAATGGAAACAGAAGTGGATTTAGGAAAGCACAACCAGTTTGCCAGCACTGGGCACCAAGCCAAGAGGGCACTGGAAGAAGAAGAAGAGGAGGAGGAGGAGGAGGAGTTTGGAATTGATATCCCGCTTTATCACTACCCAAAGGAGTCTCAAAGTGGCTAACATTCTCCTTTCCCTTCCTCCCCCACAACAAACACTCTGTGAGGTGAGTGAGGCTGAGAGACTTCAGAGAAGCGTGACTAGCCCAAGGTCACCCAGCAGCTGCATGTGGAGGAGCGGGGAAGCGAACACGGTTCACCAGATTACGAGTCTAGCACTCTTAAGCACTACACCACACTGGGGCAAGGATGACTTGGAACAGAAGATG